GTCTTTTTTTTTATAAAAACACGAGTAACTTGGAGATACCTTTATAAAAAAATGTACTTGTCTTCATGATGACCGGGAATTAGATGGCAATTTCACCTTACTTTTTGATCAAATTGCAGATGTTTTCGGAAACATTAGTTTTATAATTATTAGCTATTTGAACCCTCTCGTAGGGCTAGAATTAAAAACGATTTTTGATATTTTAGAGCTCACATAATAGTTAGATGTAAATAAAATAACGTTATCAGAGAAAAAAACGCTTTTTAATATTTAGTATCTAATTGAAGTCATAAAAAAATTTGTATATCAAAAAAAAAAAAAAAAGTTCATATCTGTTTACTATGTGTACAATCGCAGTCGCTTCTAATTAACAATACTATTAAATGAACGAAGAAATATAATTTATGATTTTACAGCAGAGATTGTTCTTGAATATGTTAAACAAATGTCGGTAATGTTTATTATTTTTTATCTCCACTATCTAATTACAGTATACTCGTATGGTATATCAACTCAGGCATGTGTACGTGTGTATGTATTTGCAGTATTTATGCAAATGATCGCGACATTCTTTGTTTGCCCATTGAAACAATTAAATGACGGTTGAAATTTAGAGCACTATAAAATTTAAAATTATTTTCTCATAAACTACTAGAGATAAATCGATGACATTTTGTGAAGTCAAAGAAAAATGTTCGTGCTACATTACAAATATTTGTTCACGATCCATTTGTTTAAATAATAATATTTTACATAATTTTTTGTTGAACAATTGAAATCTTTGTGCACCACTTGACGTGGTTTGACCCATATAGAAATAATTAAGAAAACTGCTGCCTACCATACCATCAAGGGCTTCAATTTATAATGTTAAAAAGTCAAAGTGACATTTGCTGTTGTTAAACAGTATTATTTATCTTCAGACAGCAGAGTGTTTTGAACTCTTTTATTTTTTTCATTTTGGGAAAGACTAGTATTCTCTAGTTTCTTTAAAACAACATAAAAATGGTCAGCAGTAGCTATAATATTTCAACGCAAGGTCCTTCAGATCCTTCGGAAAACTTCAAAAAATCAGAGGGTTTGCCAAGACCAAACGACTTTCAGGAAACACAAAAGTAAGTTGCACACTTTAAATTTCAATTCCTCCCTTACTAATATCTGTACTCTGCTCTTCTGCTTTTAGTGAGAGCCATACTATGGAAAGGAAGTATCCTTATTTGGAGCTGGTAAGTGACAGGTTAAGAAATTCAGTAGTCGACATTAGCGACTTTTTTATCAWAAAAATCATATATGCATGTTAATAGGCCGATTATTATTGATTTTGACGCCAAATTAAACAGCGTATAAATATGAATTAATATTACTTATGCAACTATGTATTGTTGCTATTCAATTAAAGTCCGTCAGCATAGATAATATTTGCAATTATAATATGACAAATGCAACTTTGGCGTTTTAAKGTTTTCTCACAAATAGTTAAAATTTCACATATAAACCATGAAGATTAAATTATAGATTACCGTAATAGTAGAATATCAAAACACTTAATTATTTAAAATTAATTATAATAATAATCAGTTTTGTTTGTTTATATAAAAACTTACGCATTGAGTTTCAAACATTTATAAAAAAAAAAACCGAACATTTATAATCTCGCAATTTCAGATAATCAAAGCTCGTTATTCAAGGGCTTCACTACTATTCATTAATATTCAGWGACTGATTATTTTTCAGAAAACGTGTCCGCCTAATTCCAATGAAAAATTTTAATCGGTTTAAAGTCCGTCAGAAGGTGGAAATCGCTATATCGTGTATATTGGAGCTAGAGGGAAATCTGGAATAATGATTGCATTAACTTTTGACAATACACAAGTATACCCAAGAACATGTTTCCAGGCATTTTTGTGACACAAGTCACAAATTTGCRGCCATATTCGTCATAAAAATTTAATAGAAATTTGTGATCAAATTGAAAGGTGAATTTTTAATTTATGCGCATGTTTTACGAATCGGTAAATTTTTTTTTCTGTAAGTTAGTAGTACTGTTAGTGACATCTATACAAAATTTCAAATCTATCTATCATAATCAAATATTTATTAGTATTTGAGTTACGAGTCGTTGTGTGAAGTCAATTCTTCGTTTTTTACTATGTCTGAATTTATTGAACAAAGAAGTGCGATAATGCACCATCTCATACTGCATTGGTTATTCGTAATCATTTCACCACATTTTCAACTAATATCGTGTCACAATCACCGCATTCGCCTGATTTACCTTCATGTAACTTCTGGCTMTTCAGCAAATTCACATCACCACTCCTATGACACCGTTTCGAATTAATTGAGGATATAAAAGCTGAATCGAAGAAGCCTCTGATGGGCATCACGACGGAGGATTTTTCCAAGTGCTATGATGAGTGGAAAATTGGTTGGCATATGTCAGTGTATTGCAACGGGCGGGGATTACTTTTAAGGAGATATAATGGACAAAATTCACCTTTCAATTTAATCACAGTASTATATTGAAAAATATTATCTTACTTTGGAGTTCAGTTATAGGCTTCCGATTAACGGCATATTGCTGCAATAYCAAACTCGTATATGCATTTTATTTACACAAGTTATCACTTGCACTGCTTTCAATTCGTCTCCTCATCCTCTTTTCTGTGCATACATACCTATTATATATACGTGGATTTATGAGTAGAAAGGATAGTAACCAGGCTGAACTTCGAAAACATGGCCTCTAACTAACATTCAAAATAGTAGCCGAAAATGTAACATAACGAAATTGAAACTAAATAAACTAAACTTACAAATTTGTWTATAATAAAACTAAATTGAAATATAATTAACTAATTAGTATTATAAAAGTTAAACTGAATAATAAAACAAGAGATAAGTAATAACGAGAATAGATTTATGATAACAACTGCACTCAATGGATTTATTTACTACAAAAGTGCTATTTATACATATGTACATAACTCGCATTTCTATCTCGATTACTTTTATATTGTACTAATAACCGTTAGGCGAACAAATACGAAGATGTTGCGAGATTATAAATGTGGTCAACAACGAATTTTTCGACAACGGTTAATAGAACAAATCCGTCTAAGTCTAGATAATTTTAGGTTAGGTTAGATTAAATGGTATATCTTAAAATGGGATCTCACTTGGACAGCTCTTAGCGCCGGAAAGTTGAGCTAGGTGACTCCTATAAAAAATTTTTACCGTGGCCGCCATAAATCGACAAAGTGATTGGTRCCGACCACGAATTTGTTGAGGCGGAAAATGTCAGTTACGGCCATGTCTGGTGTTTCGCTGGAAGAATGTCTAMCGTGATATTTCAGCTTCAGTTTTGCAAATGCTGAGCAATGGACTCTGTAACACAGTAGCCCAAGTTTTCAAAGAGAGGCGAATTGCAACGTTACCCTATTTAGATTCSTTCATTTACCCAGCTTCTCTAAACCTAAAAGCGGTTTTCCCAGCAATACACCTGCCAGCAATATCCACGGGAGCTATGTGTGGAATGGCGTAAATGCCATGCCGATGACAGTATAGAACATTATAAGCTTGTCTATGGTTTCGTAGAGCCCTTACCTTCTCTACAACAGTATAGGCAACCAATGCATTATTTAATCTCTCCTGTATATTTAGCCTTCATGAAATCTTACTCTGAAGGCTAAGCCTAACTGATTGAAGGCGCGGGCCTCCGATTAAGGGGAGAGGRACGTCTGCCATTTTAGTTTTACTTGGGTTGACGGCTAAACCGTTACCATTCGCCCAGAAATGGGTCCAAATACTGATGTTGCCTTGGCTTAGCTCGTAGACGATACTTTTTTCCTTTTTCTATACATCGTCAACGTAGACTATCACCCAACAGCCTTGCTCCTCGAKTTCTTTAATTATGTCATTCGCCATCAAACGGAAAAACTATCCCACTCCTCTACGACCGTTCGATCGCAATTACTTATGTTATATTAAGTACGGAGGCACAATAGGTCGCCGCCTTAGGTCGCGGTGCATTACCTCAAATAACATTCTATTCTATTAAGTACTTGGATTTCAATCCCCCCTCAAACCAGGATGAGCAAATATCCGGCCTACGGTATTAACACCATTTTAACCAGTCTCCAGACCTTTGGAACATAACCTTATCTAAAAAAAATGCACGCGTTCAGTTTTGAGAACCAAAAAATATTATTAGTTATTTAGAAGCTAGGAAAAACAACGGAATACCGAGTCAATTAAATCTGATTTTAGATTTGAAGCGACTACATAACTAGATGGTATTTTAATTGGTTATGAGAATAGAAGACGGTCCTTAGCTCAAATAAGGTTTCAATAACAAAAATCTTCCAAAAGTAATTCTACAGACAGGCAAATAAAAATAGGTTTCGGTAGTGGTAATCGTACTTAATAGAAAAACTATTTTTAAGTGTTTGAATGTAAGTGTGAGTGCTTAAATGTAAATTAAACTTACGCTGTGAATTGCATTTATACTCTTCAGTTTCGTTATGCCAGCATATGGGATCGTCTGATAATGGTCATCGGTATGCTTGCGGCATCGCTGGCTTCAATATGCATGCCATATAATGTCATCATTTACGCCGAATTCACCACTTTGCTCATAGATCGCGATGTGGGCATTGGCACTTCAACGCCTGCACCAATCTTGAATATTTTCGGCGGTGGCAAGACGCTGTAAGTTCCACAATTTTTTGCTATACTTTRTTTATTTATCGCACAAATAACGGTTAAACATTATTCCATTATCAATTAGCACAAATGCAACTCACGCCGAGAATATGCAGGCTGTTAAAGATGATGCGCTGGCTTTTGGCTTGGGGACGGTGGCTGGTTGCATGGTCCAACTATTGCTTTTAAGTTTGGCAGTCATGATATTGAATAAAGTAGCGYTCAGACAGGTTTGTGTAAGACTAAATATGTATATTTTTTTAAACTGATATCTTCTCTTTAATTATTTAACACAGATCGCGAAAATTCGAAAATTGTTTTTGGAGTCCATATTACGTCAAGATATGTCTTGGTATGACACTTCTGCCGGTAATGCCTTCGCCAACAAAATGACAGAGTATGTGTGAATGAAGTGTTTTATTCAAAACGAAATTTCATTAAATCTTTTAATTCATTGCAGAGATTTAGATAAAATGAAGGAGGGCATGGGCGAAAAAGTCGCAATGTTTGTATTTCTCATAACGACGTTYGTYGCGGGAGTTATCTTCTCTTTTGTCTAYGGCTGGCTCTTAACACTGATAGTGATCACTTGCTGTCCATTCATTATTGTTTCTACCGCGCTGGTGGCTAAAATTCAGGGCACYTTCACAGAAAAGGAGTTGAAGGCTTACTCGAATGCCGGTGCGGTCGCTGAAGAAGTCTTCTCGGGCATACGTACTGTACTTGCCTTTAGCGGTGAACGCATAGAAACTGAGAGATTTGGCAAATTGCTGGTGCCAGCTGAGAAGATTGGTCGAAAGAAAGGCTTTTACTCCGGTGTCGGCTCCGGCATTATGTGGTTCATCATTTATATTGCCTATGCGATCGCTATATGGTTTGGAATTAAATTGATATTGAAATATCGCTATATGGATGATAAATTATACACGTCGGGTTCGCTGGTTATCGTACTTTTCAGCATCATCATGGGTGCACAGAACTTGGGTTTCTCACTGCCACATGTGGAGGCATTYGCAACGGCAAAGGGTGCGGCACAAAATGTCTTTGCCACCATCGATCGCAAGTCAGCGATTGATCCGTTAAATGAGAGTGGTGAMAAATTGGAGAATGTGATCGGTGACATAAGTTTCGAAAATTTACATTTCCGTTATCCAGCACGATCCGATGTACAAGTACTCAAGGGCTTCTCTTTGGAAGTTCGCGCTGGACAAACCGTTGCGTTAGTGGGACCATCTGGTTGTGGTAAGTCCACCACACTACAGTTGTTACAGCGTTTCTATGATGCGCCCAGTGGTTGTGTACGTCTYGATGGGCGTGATCTCCGTGGATTGAACGTSGGGTGGTTACGTTCACAAATAGGTGTAGTCGGTCAGGAACCAGTATTATTCGCTACTACCATTCGTGAAAATATACGYCAAGGCAAAACCACAGCGACACAAGAAGAAATCGAGCAAGCCGCACGTATGGCCAATTGTCACGAATTCATACTCAAACTACCTAATGGTTAYGACACGATGGTGGGCGAACGTGGCGCTCAAATGTCTGGTGGCCAGAAGCAACGTATAGCCATTGCACGTGCACTCATACGGAACCCGAAGATATTGTTGCTGGATGAGGCAACCTCAGCTTTAGATCCCACATCCGAGCGTCGTGTGCAGGATGCGCTCGATGTGGCCAGTCAAGGACGTACCACGTTGGTGGTTTCACATCGTCTTTCGACAGTGACAAATGCTGATTTGATTGTGTTTGTCAAAGACGGTATGGTGGCTGAGCAGGGTACACACGATGAACTTATGCGCTCGGGTGGTCTTTACTGTAAGTTGGTAATGATATCGAAACGTAAGGAAGAAGAAGAGGCTTTGGCGAACACCTCCAATGCAGTGCGACAGCGTAAGCAACAA